AGGTGACTGTTGGGAAGTTATTGTGTCTTATATAGATATCAACAAGCAATACACTCAATAGTTGACTTCACAATTGACTGACCAGTAGTTATTGATTGCTTTAGCTTATGTAATATACAAAGTCCATTTCTATAAAGAAACATTGTATCACAGCTTATATAATATCTTTCTCTTGCTCTTAACCTCCATCATTTCCCAAATATAAGCTATCATTGTATGTTACTCTGGCTGCTGATGATTTAAACTACCTTCTTATTTCTTATTTATTTCAGCTCACCCTTCAAACCCTATCTCCTTGCATGCCACCACTCTCAAAAATGCACTGCTTGTCTTATAGAGTTAGGGTTTAGGTTAGGATTAAAGATGATAATCCTAATTCATTAGATATGCTCATATACCCATCTAGTAATTTGCCACTCAACAATGTAGAGACATATTCAGATGGATATCATTAAAAATACCCTCCACTAGATCAAACCTTTGGTTTATAAACATCCAATTAGACACCTATTTGAGTGCAAACCTAGGTTAAAGAGTCTGGTGGTGTTGCTTCATGAAGGCCACTAAAGGCTAAGGATAGATTAACTTGAGAGATAACATTATGAAGGCTTGGAAAAAGTAATGCACTAAGTCTAAGTACTACCTCCAGGTACATTCACATTACACAACATTCTTCACCTAATGCCTAAGTCCAGTATAGTTATGACATCAGACCCGGAAATGTTGTTAGCATTGCTTGTGGACCCAAATTTTGCATAAAGGAGGCTGTACTCAGCATAGACTTCCCTAATGTGCAATTAATACTAGAGACCAATAAGAAACAGGAGTTTGTAAGTCTAACCCTACAGAATCCTAACATGGGAGGCCCTTGAACTGAAACCATCACTATGGCCAGTTTTTTCTATGTAAAATCTTACAGGCAAGATTGAGTATACAAATTCACAGGCAACACCTGGCCACTATCCTATGAAAACTTCCTATGCCATGTACCCTGAACAAAAATGAACACCCTAATAACACACTTACACCAAAGACCCAAATGGTAAAACATAATGAAGTACAACAGCCAAGTACCATAAAACCCTGCAATGACATGAAGTCACCTGCACCCCTATCACCTTGACTTAACCATAGACAGAACACCCTAGTGATGTGTTGTAAAATAAAACACAATAAACCATTGAAATGACTGTATCCTAAACCATCCTTGAGAATTCACTGCTAATCCTAACTCCAACTAACTTAACACATCTCCATATCTTTTACTTATACACCCATCTTCACCCTAAGACCCCATGACCCACTATACTCCTCCAAACTAACACAGACAGTGCTGATAGAACCTCCAGATATATAAGCCATCTACTAACATCTTAAAATGCTGCCCACTGGGAATATAAGAGACAAGGAGATTACACCCATTAAATCATCCTCCCGAGCAACTTGCCCTTACCTCTTCACTCCATATTTACCTCCAACCACCCCCTATGCTGGGTCACATTTCTTCCCTTCCAATGTACTCACTAATGACAACAATATGTAATATATGTACCAAAATGTGACATACACCCCTGTGTCCCCTTCCTCCCCAGTTAGTTCCATTTAGTGTTGCTATGGCTCCAGCTTATTGCCAGTTTGAGCTATGGACTGAACCATGAATGGCCAAGCTAACACGTGACTTTAGCTTATATAATTTACAGTTCGGCTTGGCTCGAATACCAACAGTTAAGTTGATTTAAGGCTTAGAACCAGCTTAAATATATATTTTGACAAAAATATATTAGAAATTAGAGTTATCACTCAAGAGCTGAAAACAGTGTTCATAGCACAAACTCTGCATCTACAACTAACCGACAACTAGTAATAATGGGTCCCCAAGATGATGTGAGTGATTCTTTTGATGTTTGATGAAAACTAAAACAAAGGTTAGCTATATGTCAGTGCTATTCATGCACAAAAATTGCAAGAGCAAGCCAGGTTACAGAAGGCTGAGGAGCACCACATGCAAAGAATCAAAAGAGAAGCTGAGGGACAAAGAAGAGCTGAGATGACTGCTCAAAGGCAAACAGGAGGGGAAAGAGTGCAAACATCAAGGAGATTGAGGTGACCATGTTGGTTATTGAAAATGCTAGGTCATGATGGGCAGGAGTAGATGTCGAAATTGCATGGATGATTGAACTGTTACGTTACATTTTATCAATAAGTGTTAAACTTATGTGCAGGGTATATACTATGGATGCCTATGGGGGTGAGTGTGTTCACATGTTATGAATGAACAGTGGGCAACGTCGATCAGCACACTGCAAGCAACAACCTGGCTAGGCACATGAAATAAAATGTTCAACCAATATAAGTGAGTCTAAGCTCTGCCTAGCTGCTATACTTGCAGAATGCAAGAGTGTTCAATCCTAAAGGGGAAGCAAGAAAAGCAAGGATCCACAGAATGATGCTGATCAACCCTGATGAAAGGCGGTGAAAGTGCAAGAAGCATGCTGAAGGCATGTGTGGGAAAGCAAAACGCAAAAGTGCGCAGAGCATGGGGAGGTAGTGCGAGCAGTGCACAAGTGTAGAGAAGACTTGCAAAGGCATTAAGACATGACTGAGATGATAATATGATGAAAAGTGAGGATATAGATGGATACTGATAGTGCCACTGGCTATAGACTGATGCTAGGGCCTTAAGATGATGACAGATACATGCATTGCATGGAACTAATTGGTGATAGATGGTGACTGCCAGAAGCTAAGTTGTAAAATGAACATGAAGGTATGTAAGTTCTACCTAAGCACTTTCCCAGGGCTCAGAGCTAAATAGGGAGCGCTCTAAGTATGTAAGTGATGTAAAGTAAGGGTCCATAATGAAATAGGAAGTATAATATGCCAAATATAGTCAGATAATGAAAAGGGACATACCAAGGGACTGGTTGGATGATGGATGGGACATGTGGAGGATAGGTGACGGATCCTACGGAAGTGTGATGAAGTGCATCGTAACACGCCCAGATGTGCTGGTATATATCATTGTGCGCATTATGTGCATTTGTGTGGAGATCATATTTGGAGCACATTGCAAGGATTGTGAGTGTGTTGTGAAAAGGTGTGAATCATGCCTATCTGTGCCTGTTCAAACTCCAGTCTCTACAGCATATATAGTGACAATACAACTATATAGGATAAGACTCTTGCCAGTCCTTAAGTACACAGTCTACAACTTTTCTAGTTTTCATGGTAGATGATGTGTGAGTTCTTGGGAGGGTTTACTTAAAAATGTCCCCTTCTTGTTTTCTCTCTGTAGGTTTGCTTTGAGGCCTTTGTCAATTGAACAGGTTTATTTCACCCTAAGAAAGTTTGCCTCAGTGTGAAGTAGTTCTTTTAGCTTGTGTCTCCCTTCCTATAAAGAGAGAGGTTATTTGTATGAGTGAAGTTTAGTTTAAGTTTAGTAGATTAGTTTGTTATATAGTCAACCCCTGTAAGGTAGTATATAACTCAGATAGATATTTCTTAGTCTTACTTCAAGGCACTAGTTTTGCCTGCACTTTATTTCTTAGGTAATCTTACTTGATTTGAGAACAGGGTTTAAAGTGGGAAGTCTAGATTCACAGTGACAAAATGAGCTCTTTTTATACCTTTTTGGAGGGAGAACAGGGTTTAAAGTGGGAAGTCTAGATTCACAGTGGCAAAATGGGCTCCTTTTATACCTTTTTGGAGGCCATTTTACTAAGCATGATTCAGCACATGGATTGGTAAGAACATTCTTACAAATCAAACCTTTTGGTGTGTTGAGTCAGCTTATTTATTAACTAGCTTATTAATACAATGTAATTTTACAAAGAAAGATGAATAAAAGACATGAGTCATCCCATGGATTGGTAAGAATATGCTTACAAACCAATCTTTTGAGTGAGCTGAATCAGCCTTCTTACTAAGTGAATTATAAATACACTTGTAAGTCTTATAAATCCTGACAAATCATGACAAAAACATGATAAGTCGAGTTAAACCCTTACAAATCAGATTATTAACCAGTCACATGACAAGCTTACAAACATGCTTTGTGGCTAGAGAGGAAGTCTGATGGTTAAATATGCCTAGAAAAATGGAAAGAGATAGAATCTCATGGAACAAAAATAGGAATACATGGAAAAATAGAAGTGAAGTTATAAAGTGAAAATACTAGCTAATGATTAAGGGGAAAATGATGGGGTAACTTGGTGATAGGATACAGTAGGGTCTATTATACCTTCCTTATCACACATCTTGTATATATGTCATGGTATGAGTCACATACCATGCATGACACCACTTCTTAACTTCCTTCAAATCCACTTCCTCACTTCTGCTCAAACACCATATACCCTCCAAAGTGTGGTCTGACGTCCTCTGGTGGCATGCCTAGCTCAGCTTTGAAGAATATGCATGCATCTTGTGTCCTGTACCCCCTCCCCTCTCTCTTCAAATCTCTGTGGATGCCTCTACCACCTTGAGAATTGGCTTCTTGGCAGATGGTCGCTGGCTTGGCTGATGCTTGCTCCCAGGATGGAAGACAGATGGACATGATATTGGCTGGGCAGAGATGGTGGCCATGGACCTTGGTCTTCATGCTCTTGTTCACTCCAGCTTTCATGATGTTCATTTATGCTTCTGTTCTGACAATCAGGGAGTGGTGGGTGCCCTCAAAGCAGGTCATTCTTAGAGTCTTGCTCAAAACAATATCCTGCGCAGGCTATCTGCATTTGCTCTGGACCATGGTGTTTGGTTTTCCATTCAATGGGTCAAATCAGCAGAAAATATTTCAGATGGCATCTCCAGGGTTGTTTTTCCCCAGTCTAAATCTCATTTTAGCCATCCTCCTTCTCTCCCTTCCTATCTTAAGGCCTTCATCCAGTTAGCTTAATTGTCTGTTGCATGTATTTTTATTTTATTCTGCCTTCCTGCACTTCATGTTTTTCATAGCTCCTTGCACACCTTTCAGTAGTCTCATAGCTCGTTTACATGCTTTCTCAATTTTGGGTCTTGTATTCAGGCTCTGAAGAAAAAAACACCATTAAAATGCTGATGGCAGTTGAGCTGAATGTAGCCTGCCATTCATAGATCCTTTGTGTTGCCTGTAAATTTGTGAATGAACTGTTGCATCTAGATTGTGTTAGAATACCCACCACAGCAAATGCACGCCCTCCAGCATTGAAAGAACTGGGACCTTGTTCACACGATTGCACTGCATCAAATATGTCCTCAAGGGCAACCTCAAGTTCATTTTCTGGGATGCTCCTCCCATAATCACTATTACCAATCCAGTAAATCACACAAGGAATGAATTTTGCCCGCCACTGGTCATACACTCCGACAGGCAGGTTTGAATTTTTCAGTTTTCTTTTTTTGATATTTGTGTAAAAGTTGTCGGTCTTGCTTGTCGTGTTCTCACTTGTTATACTAACTGGCATCTATTATCATATTTCATGCACTTGTTATGACAATCTGGCAACATGAATAAGCTCACCGAACTAGTGACCCGACTCTCAATTTTAATCCGACTTGCTTCAACCTTAGTGACCTGAGTCTTAGCCTCAGCCTCCATGTCAATGCTTTTGCCATCATCATCCTCCATCATATCATCTTGACCTGCATCTGATTCCACATCATCCAAGTTGCTTTGCTCAATTGCCAAATTCTCATCTTCAGCGGCCTCCAGGTCTTTGAGGATTTTAAGGTCTTCTTCAGTATCAGCAAGTGACCCAAGATCATCTGGAGCTTCTATTACAGCATTTGAACACTTTTTGATTCTCACAGCACCTTTTGGTTTCTGGATGATGTTCACAATGTCTTAACTTATGTGAGTATCTATCTAAGACTTCAAAAGCGGCTGCTTACCTTTGTGCCTTGCCTTCTAGGTTGCTCATCAAACTCTTCAGGTGGTTCCTTGAGGTCCAGTTGTACAAGATAGTGTATCTTGGAGGGTTGGGTAGTACTGGGTGGCATGGATGGCTTCAACTGAGGCCAGGATGCAATTTTGTCCACCCAAGCTGTGATTGGCCCTTCAAGTTCAGAGTCTAGACCATCCAGTCCCTTCTGATTGGCACTGGTTTGTAACGCCCATATCCAATCAAAGTAGTAAAGTGTGAGTTCTGATAGAATCAACATCATGGTTCAAAAAAAAACTTACCATTCTTTGATTTTCCCATTGCCAACAATTGTGCTTCCAACATGTGTGTTAGTTGTGTCACTGACAGAAACTGACACTCCATCATTCGTAACCTTGTGATTGGTAACGACACTCTCCCTAAAGGTAAGCTTCAGGCCTGGATGTCTCCTCTTTATCACTGCAGTTGACTTTGGATTTGCCACTATACAAGGATCAATAAATGGGTGAGTCATTTAAGCACTAATTAATATGACTCACATGTGACAATAGGTTCGAAGGAATTCACTTTTGATGGCTGCTTGTTCTTACTCACCATGCGTAGCCATGGTTGAACAAGCTTTGGAGGGCCATTGACTTGAACACTTTGCTTGACAGCCATAGCATCTTTGGCTGCTGCAATTTTCATACATGCTTTTTCTACTGCTGCAGCATGAGCATCTTTCTCAGCTTGCTTTCAACCTTTTTCAACTGCAACTTCTTCTTTAGACCATTGTACTTTGTTTGCATCCTGGACAATTTTTTCAGGATGCTTGTCAGCATTACCTGGACTCATTTTTGGATGAGACATCAGGAAACAAGTGACAGGAAAACAAGCCTATAAAAAATGAATGACAAAAAAGAGCGTCACAGGTGAAAATTAAAAATGACTTAGGGCATTGATGTTGGTAGTGAAAACAAGTTCAACCATTCAGGGTGCATTATAATTCAATCTGACCCAAAACAAATAAGTTCACACAGTCACTGTTGGACTTAGCTTTAAACTTCAATTTGTCATATTTGCCAGTCCTACCAGCAATGTCAATAACCCAACTTCCTTGTCACATATCTGGTTGCAAACAGATCTTCAAGAACAAGTCAGGCCTAACCAAGCACCTGCATACCCTACACCCAGATCCTCTGCATCATCATAGGACCTTTCATCAAGCAGCGCCTCCCCCACCTCACTTTCCAAGTCCTGAGCATCATAATTTTGATGATGCACCCCTTCCAGCTACAGCTGATACTCTGGAACACCAAGGAGATGCTAATGGATTTATTCTGGAAGAGGGCACTTATGTGCAGTTTGGGCCACTTTTACGGGCATTCCATCCTCGTCTTACAGGTAACCCTAAATTACACCATTCATGCATTTAAATCTGACATACTAGCAGGACTCAAGTGTGATATTGATGGCAATACTATTGACCAGACTACACCACCACCACCATGAACCAAAGCATTGCCCACCAACTGGACTCCTCATGACAGCCATGTTGCATTCAAGACTGGCTGAATTCCTCTTTACGCACAACCAGATGTCTGCAGGACAGATTGATACCCTTCTTGACCTTTAGGGCATCAACACTCATCAAACATCAAGATACTCCACTGTTTTCCAGCCACTGTGACCTATACAACACAATTGATGCGACTCCTCTTGGTGGGGTGACCTGGGAGAATTTTTTGATGTCCTATAATGGTGTCAGACCAGCTGAAAATGTACCTCCATGGATGATGAGTACATATGAAGTATGGTTTCGTGATCCACAGCTTCTTATACATAATATGCTTGCCAATCCTGATTTTGACGGCAAGATTGAGTATGTTCCATACTGGGACTATAATGACAAGGACCAACACTGCTGTCATATCCATGCATTCGGATCTCAGATCAGATCCAGATCTGAACCACTAATCAGATCTGGACTACTAATCAGATCCAGACCACTGATCCGCTATCCAGTCCACAACGCAGTTTACCGGTCCACAACTCATTCCAAACCCAGAACCTTAAATCAGTGTCTATCCCCTTTTGGACATACCTTCTCCGGTACACTGATTATCTTCCCTTCCACTTTGCTTATTGATCCACCCTATGTATTCATGTCTGAACTTCATTTCCTCTGATCTGTTAGACTTACCAACAGACTTTCCACATGCTTCGTACATAGCTTTGTTTCATGCTGACTGACCATTCCATTATGCTACCTACAGTATATAAACTTGTGTATAACTCTGTAACACCTCAGTTTGAATATCATCTTAGATTCTGCTCATTCCTGTCTCCATCTGAACTTGAGTTCTCTCTCGTTCACCTCTGGTCTTAGAACTGATTCCTTTGATTTATCTCCGGCTCTACCTTAGGGTAGTCTTACTCTGTTCTGTTTCCAGTCTTGGACTTTATCCGGATTAGCCTTTCCGCTACTCGTCCGATATCTGGAAGTCATCCAGATTGACTCTATGGTACTTGTCTGCTCTTCCGAACACAGTACTTTAGCCTTCTGAAATCAAGGGCAGCACTCAGGGTAAGGGACACAGCATATAAGCTGAGGCCAAGCCCTTCGGATCCAATACCTTTGAGCATGTTCTTAACAGCTGCTTTAAAATTTTCCTTCCTGGCAACTGGGCTTGGAACCAAGATATATATTACAGTCCTCAATTTGTACCTTTCCTCAAACTAATACTACATCGCTACACAGGACATTATTTCAGAGGACCCAGCAAACCACGGATCAACATTTGTGCCCCTTATTGTTGGCAGCGACAAAACTACAGTATCTGTCACTACAGGGCATACTGAGTACCACCCTCTCTACCTATCCATTGGTAATAACATTTTTAATAGTGTTCGGCATGCACACTGTAATGGTGTTGTGTTAGTGGGATTTTTGGACTATCCCAGAAAGTGAGTCAATAGTGCATTGGTGTATTTTTATGATCACTCATTTGTTTCATTTATATTATAAGTATGAAGGAACATCTACAAGACAGTCGACTTTTGTAATTACCACTGGCAACTATTCGGCTTAGGGCCATATATAGCAGACTATCCAGAGCAGGTGCTACTGTCAGGTATTGTTACAGGATGGTGCCTAAAGTATGTATGCTATTTGAAAATTATTCCATAGACTTACTGTTTAAGATATTTGAACAATTGCAAAGATCTCAATGGAGAAGGACTATCTTTGCTCCAGTGTAGAGAGCACACCGACTTGCTCATTGAAGAGCTCAATCGGATGAAGCTATGGATTCAAATACGGTATCATTTACCATGTTGTGGTATGTTTTTCAGTTCTTCATAATATTGATTTCTCATTATCTTTCAAGCCATTCACAAGTGATTTTCCCCGAGGAGATATACATGAACTCCTTTCTCCGGATCTCCTACATCAGATCATTAAGGATACCTTCAAGGACCATCTTGTTACTTGGGTTGAACAGTACCTGGAGCATACACATGGTGCTTTGTGCGCAGCAGAAATTCTGGATGATATTGATCGAAAGTGAGTCTTTGTCCTGACCCTAGTACTATGTCACATCTTGCTCACCTTACTACTCAATCAGGATCACTTCCATTGCTCCTTTTGCAGGCCTGTGCCATTTTCCAGAAGGGTGCAGATTCAATCAGTGGACAGGCAACAATTCCAAGGTGCTGATGAAGGTGCATCAATGTATTCTCTTATAATGTGCGAGCTAATCCTACAGTATGTAGGTCTATCTGCCTGCCATCAGAGGCCATGTCCCTCAGGATGTCATTTGTACATTTAGTGTCTTCCTTGACTTCTGTTATATCATTCAATGAGATGCACTTACTGAGGATGACCTTACACAGCTTCAAGATGCACTGGACCATTTTCACCAGTATTGTGAAGTGTTCAAGACCATGGGAGTCATACCCACCTTCTCACTTCCACACCAACATTCCTTGAAGTATTACCTCCTCATGATCCAGCGCTTTGGAGCCCCCAATGGCCTCTGTTCTTCAATAACAGAGTCAAAACATATCAAGGCAGTCAAAGAGCCCTGGCACCGCTCTAGTCGGTACAAAGCACTGGGTCAAATGCTCCTCACAAATCAATGCCTGGATAAACTAGCTACTGCATGAAGCAATTTTGAGGCTTGAGGTATGCTTCAAGGTTCGTGTATGTCAGACGCTTTCCGGGCACTGAGACAAGGTGAGTTTTTGAGTACAGAAATACTGCATAAATGTTTCTAATCTATTACACAGGCCATAAATCTCTTAATGATGATGACAATGACAATGCAGTTGCAGTTGCGCCTCAAGTTCTCCCCAATTGTTTACATATCAATAAACCACAAGATCAATCTGTTGAGGGAGACATGGACTGATATGATTGACAGACCTACCATCGAGGCTCACATGGAGCTTGCTGCAACACCTGGTATGTCTTATGTCTTTTGATAAGCTTGATTTTATAATGTTTCATAGTGTCAGGCGGTGCACGTGACATTTCTGACCTGGCACTTGAGCTTGGGCTTCCAAACTTCCCTACTATTCTCCAACAGTTTCTTTATGATCAACTTCATATCACGGATCCTGACCCTCCTATATTTGACCCTGCAACAGCACCAGCCTTCATGGGCTGAGTTTCAGTTTTTAGCTCAGCAGCAGCATCATTCTATGCCCCCAGTGACCTCAGCAGGTACTGGAGGCATGCGACTGCAAACATATATGGGCAACACACTCTTGGTGAGGAGGTCCTGCAAGAAATGACTATGTTCTTGTCAACATAAACGATAACTTCAAATGTGGTGTGGATGGACTCGCCGTCACCAGGGTACTACAGTTTTGCGCCTTCAAATATCAGACATAATATTTACCATGTGCTCTCATTCACTGGTTCTCATACACATCGAATACCCACGATCCTGACACAGGAATGTTCATTGTTGTGCCATCAATCAATGATGACCGCACACCAGACATCTCAATCATCCATATTTATTGCATAGTCCATGCAGCTCATCTTATCCCGGTCTATGGCATCAACTTTTTGCCTCATGCCTATCACACTTCATGACAGCTATAACGTGTTTCATGCTTACTACATCAACAAGTATGCTGACCATCACATATTTGAGGTAGCATGATATCACTTGTTTCAGTGAGTTCTTAATTCTGCTCATGAGTTCAAAATGCTAAACATCCATAGGCACCAGCTCCAGCGACTCCAAGTGTACCTTCCCACTGCTCGAGGATCCTTAGGTCATCACCCAGCTAAACATCATGTGATCAGTTCATTCCTCCTCCAGCAAGTCAAAGCACATTTTCCCACTGCTCAAGGATCCTTGGGCCATCACCCAGCTAAATGTCAGCCTACTCTGACCCATGAGCAGGTTGCCTGTTTATGTGAAGCCTACTCTGACCCACAAGCAGGTTGCTCATTTATGCATTCAGTTCATTCCTCCTTTGACCCATGAGTAGGTTGCCTGTTTATGTGAAGCCTACTCTGACCCACAAGCAGGTTGCCCATTTATGCGATCAGTTCATTCCTCCTCCAGCAACTCAAAGCACATTTTCCCACTGCTCAAGATCCTCAGGTCACCACCTAGCTAAATGTCAGCCTACTCTGACCCACAAGCAGGTTGCCTGTTTATGTACTCAATTCATCACCCATCTTTTCACTTGAGTACCCCCTTCATCTTCTAACTCACAGGTTAAACTTCCCCATTTTGGCCTACACCGCACAAATCCCCATCCTTCAGTGATGTTCACTACTCTCATCCTCCTTCACCAACTCAAGTTAGTGTTGCCACAGCTCCAGCTTATTGCCAGTTTTAGCCGTGGCTAGAGTTATTAATAGCTGAGCTGACACATGGTTCCAGCTTATATAATTTATGGTCCGACTCAGCTCATGTAACTACAGTTAAGTCAAGTTAAGGGCTTAAACCAACTCCAATATATTTTTAAAACTATAACTCAGAAAAAAAAATTAATTGAATGGAGAGTCGAAAAGCAAAGTAGCGCTCGTAACTCCAATGCGCTCTACATCTACAATTGACAGCATAACTAAGACTAATGGGTCCCAAAGATAACGTGGGTGATTCCATTAACATTTAATCAAAAACTAACACAAACATTAGCTATGTGGTAGCGCTGCTTGTGCAAAAAAATTACAAGAACAAATGGTGTTATGGAATACTGAGGAAAACCGCACATCAAGGCGAAGAACCAAAAGAGTCAGGTGAAAGGCAAAGAGGAGGGGAGAGAGTCATGCAAACACTGCGAAGACCAAAATGGTGAAGTTGGTTGCTGAAGATGTTAGGTCACGATAGGCAGGAATAGGTGTGATCCATCGAGATTGAATAAGTGGGAAGTGCTGGATGTTTGGGTTGTGAGGTGCAGGAATAGATGTTGAAATCAGTGTTTGTGCAATTGCATGTATGATTGAACTTTACCTAAGCTGCTGTTGCTGAATATGACATTTTTCTCGAGTGGGTATGTTCACGCACTGCGAATGATAGGCAATGACTTCAATCAGCATATCTCAAGTTTGAGGGAGGATTGACACGCTCATAAATTGTAAATGGTGGGGATTAGAATGTGTTGAGTTTGAAGGAGGACCGGCACACTCACATACAGCAAATGGTAGGTGACGACTCTGATCAGCATGGTCAGAGCTCAAGGGAGGATCGACACACTCACCAACTGCAAATGGTGGGCAATAACTTCGATCAGGATGACTCGAGTTTGAAGGAGGATGAACACACTCACATACTGCGAACGCTGGGCAGCAACTTTGATCAGCATGGCCCAAGCTCGAGTGAGGATCGAGACACTCACAACTTGTGAATGGTGGACAACAACTTTTAGGTGCTGTTCGGACACCAAATCATATTTTTCAAAATCATCATTCGCATCATGTGATGCAACCGTGGGATGTTCAGGAAAACCCCAGATACACAAGATATGCGCCTAGATAATGACACATTGATAATGACTCAATGCTGGACATAGAGATGGGCGCACCTCCTGAGCTCAATGATGAGCAGTTTCAGCAACAACTGGAACATTTACGGCGCCTTGTAATGATACTAATATGTGCTATTGGCCAGGTATTAACAATATATAAATCAGTATTCTTATTAGCAACTGCAGCCGATACCTTACCACACATCTGCACTTAGTGGTGAAGCATGAGTGCTTGAGCTCATGACCGGTCATCCCGAGCGTATCCGGCACAATTTGGGTGTTGGCTTGGATGTTTTCCAGTCATTGTTGCAGTGTTCTATATACAAATGGTTATGTGCGGTCCTGCAATGGTGTTTCTGTTGAAGAACAACTTGCCATTTTTCTCTACACCTGTACAACTGGACTATCAACACGCCTTACAGGTGAAAGGTTCCAGCACTCCCCAGAAACTATCTCAAGGTATTGTTTTCATTATCTATATCATGTTGAACTAATCGCACTTAGTAGATATTTCAAGAAAATTTTGTTGTTCTTTGCATCACCGCCCTTCTACTCATCGCAAGTTCAACTCCCTACTCAACACTCTCCAATCCCATTCTTAATCCAAAACGACCATGCTATAAATTCTTCGAAAACTGCATTGGCGCTGTTGACGGCACACATATCCTGCGCCTTTGCACCACTCGAGGACCATCCATTCATGCGCAATCAGCAAAGGTTTTATATCACAGAACTGCCTTTTCATCTGTAACTTCGATTTCTTGTTCATTTTCTCACTCTGTGGATGGGACGGCTCTGCTGCAGATGCAACTTTATGGCATGATGCACACACACACAGGCTTATACATGCCCCCTGGAAGATACTTTCTTGCCGACGCTGGGTTTGGGACATCGGACACACTCCTTGTACCATATAGAAATGTATGCTATCATCTGAAGGAGTGGTGTCAATCAAATATTGGGTGAGTTCAGTTGCCTTTAGTACATTCAAAGTTCATTTTCTAAAAAAATCTTCAAGCCCAGCATCCTGCAGCTGCCGCCTGAATATAGCATGGCTACTCAGGCTCGCTTACCAGCAGCACTATGCACCCTGCACAATTTTATTCACAGGCACGATCCTGACCTTTTTGACCATCTCTATGACAGTCAAGTTGTGGAACATGATGGTATTGATGATGTAGCGCTAGGAGAACTTGATGGTGGACCTGCAGATGCTGCAGAGAGGGGTCAAGCAGACCGACTGCCATGATGCTATTGCATCTGCAATGTGGGAAGATTATACTGCGGAAGTACATGCGACAGGGAATTGTATTGGCAGCTTAAGTACAAGAATACAATATTTTTATTCCTTCATTGCAGACAGAGTCTGAAGAGCCTGCCGCAGCCACAGCACCCCGACCTCAGCATCGCTATTCACGTACAATGTAGTGTCTCTCGGATTCCTCCCCAAAAAACTCCCCATGTCCATCTGTTCCTGTGGTGATAACCCCATTGCAGCAGCGTCATCTTGGAGCAGTTTGATTGCATGAGTGTACTTGGAGTTTGGTGATAATGTGGAATCATTGAATTTCTCTGTAAACGTCTCAAAGATATTGTTGAACCTTACAAGCTCATCACGACTCTCCTGCTGTGCCTTTGCAGCAACCGAAATAGGTTGAGAACACCTTGGTGCACCCCCCCCCCCCACACATGAAGCGACTGCTGACTCAATGGCGCTTTGAATGTCATACTTGCACTTTGATGTGTGCACTGATGCTGGTGATGACCGAACTTGTAGAAGTTGAGCCAGAGAGAAAGGTGGATGGAATGCTGCCAGGTGATGACATTGGTGCGCTGGGTCCAGTTGCCTCAGGGGGTGCATCATACTGCATGCTAGAGCTGGTGTTGATTTCATTTAGGGAAGGAGCGAGCGGAGAAAGATCTAGGGCATCAAGTGCGCCGCTAGTGATGATAGAGGGTATGCCATCAAGGCCTGAGGGGGAGCAGTAAATATTCGAGTTGTTTCCCTGTCTCTTGGTGCACGGCTGTATGCTGTCAATGATGTCAAAGTAAGGGAAGCCCTTGTTCTTGAATGGCTTTTCTGCTGCACGACCCTTTAAACAAAGGCTTCAGTTATAAATAACAGGAAGGGGTATGATCACAGTACAGACCTTTACAAAAGCCGCCCATGCACTCTCTGCTCTCCAGAGTAATTCCAGTGCCATGATCATCACTCCAAGTAAATCCAAAAGCCCTCTTAATTTCCACAACAGCGGTGTGAAAGAGTAATAGCGACTAGGCTGGTTAGAAACTAGCACTACTTATCCAAATAGGCGCGAGTGTAGTATTCGACTCAAGAGGACTGCTATTGAAGCAACTCCCTTCAAATATGCAAGGGTAGCGATGATGCGAAGGGCTAATAACCTATAGCGACCTAAGACCAAAAAAACCAATGAGTAGCATTGTAGTGATCAGCTGACTTGCGACAAGTGAGTTCCGACAGAGAAACGTGCGTATAAGTGAGGAGCGCTATGCAAGTTGTCCTATGCGATAGCACTATGCAACGTCCGACTAGCGACAGCGAGAAGAAATCAAAAGAAGGGAAAGCGAGGAATAAGGTATGATAGTGCAAGTGGAATGCCCGATAGTGACTAGATTATAGCTCGACTACAGATAGCGATCCCAACATTGTGAAAATCAAACTTATGAGGGAACTTTAGCGACGCGCACTCAAAGCAAGTCAAGCGACACGCGATCAGAGAGATTGGCAAGAGCGGGATCAATTGCACCAAAACTAGGATATAGCGACTAAAGTGACTCCGACACCAGCAAAGGTCCGGGGAAGGGAAGTACTGTACTGTATGTGCAACAGGTCATTTTATCATACTGCGTAAAGGTTCGGGAATGCGTAGGCGAGAATAGTAGCGACACTGATGAAGGCACAATGTAGCGACAGGTAATAAGACATGCAGCGCAGCGGAACACGAGGATGCATGTAATAAGACCTGCAACTGATGAGTAGCGACATTTAAGGAAAAATAACGCACCAGCAGAGGTAGGTGGACATAGGCAGGACATGGGAGGACGGAATACCTAGGCGTCGGGCCGGGCAGCACGCTATGGGAGAAAAGCGGTTCCAAAGCGGATAGCTTGGGAGTTGAATAGTGCTGATGACTAGTGCCTTACTCTTTTCCTCTATGCAAGGCAAAATATGCCTATGGCACTCATACGCGCCTAGCGCTGGTATGATTGTCACAGCGGTGTAGGCAGATTTGAGCTGATAGAACCAGGTCAGTCAGTCAGTACACTAGATAGAGCGGCAGGAGCAGCCTAACACCACTTACATTTGTCCATTTTGAATTGCAAACTGAGCTGTGTCTTCTCAGCACCCTTCTGCTTTGGGAATTTTTCCTTGAGATGATTGGAAGCGTCATTGAAGGTCTTTAGTTTTGAAGTTACCATCGCCAGTGATTGACTTCTGTTCAGATAAGAATTGAAGGAAAGATTCTTCTTCTTGCTTAGTCCAGTAAGCTGCAGGTTTGCGAGATCGGACAGCGGTAGCCTTGGTAGGATGTTGTGCATCACTTTCATTGTCTATATGACCCACAGAACGAAGAGATCTTGCCGGGCCTTGGCTGGACGAGTCTAATATCATATCAACGATGGTGGTAGTACAAGACAATCCAGGGTTTTCCTGCACATCCCACGGTTGCATCGCATGATGCGAATGATGATTTTGAAAAATATGATTTGGTGTTCAAACAGCACCTTAGTCATCTTTGCCATTGAACTCCTCATCTAGAAGCTTGTCTAGGGTGAGTTCAACGGTCAGATGAAAAATGCTAAAGTCAGTTGCATGGGCACTACTAATGCCTTTGCTGTCGCTTGTGTGGTTAGTTATGGGGAGAAAGATGCATTGGGAAGAGAAATAAATCGACAGATGAGGTCAGCCTAATGACAACAGCAAAGCAGTATGAGTGACATCATAGAAACAGTAATGGTGATAGTCAAAAGCAAGAATTAAGAGATGGGTATAAATATGGTTGCGATATCATCTGGAATATCATCGCATTCATCCTCCATGATGACTCTGAGAAGGGCCTCATAGTCGTGACTGCCGGAAGTAGTTCCACTGATTGCAGATATCAGTAAATCCCCAGAGCCAGATGTCAAGAGATCTTCATGGCTTGCGGAGCCTGTGACACACATCAAGTTATACTCCATATCCTTTTGGAATGCTGCCCAACCCTTGGTGAAGTGAAGTTATTCCTTTTTCAGCACAAACTTAACCATCTGTAGGGCTTCCATCATGTACAGGCTGAGACGATTGTGCTTCTTGGTAAATGTGTCACTGCTGGAGGAGAATACACACTCACATGGGACAGCAGAGGCTTGAATCGGCAGGAAGTCCATTGCAATTTTGTACAGCATCGGGAACATTGGTTCCAAAACCTAGTCTGCCCATCATCAACAAATCCTGTAATCAACATAGTACTCCTACCTTCCAAAAAGATAATATGTTTATTCCTGTGGGGCTAAGAACGCCTGTGCTATAAGCATTGAACTTATCTTCGACTGATTGCGGGCCACCCTGGGGACATGGCAGCATGTCTATCTCAGGAAGTCCATAGATCATTGAGCCCAATGTCGCAGGGTGTGGCTGATGAATCAATTGATCAGATTGCACGGAGGCATTTATTGCTCTCTTGCTTGGAATCTGTAGGACATATCAGTTCAAAGTTTAGCTATTGTTATAATCAGGCAGACATACCAGTTTGAGAATATAGTTTTTAGCCTCTGTGATCAGCGGGATTGGCCAATTTTTATTCATCCACAATAGACGTCTTATGGGGTCAACAACTATATACAACCATGAGAATTCACCTTTATCAAAACATGCAGGACTGACACATTGCAACAGTGTATGCTCCTGTGAGGCTCATTTGGTCATTGTACTTAGCTGCTCATGTTAAACCTATGGCAACGAAAGGTGCACAGTGCGGGACAAGGTCCACCACAAGCCTTCATCTTTGTATCAACCCTTTGAAGGCCGGAACAGCCGTTGCCCAGCAGAGGACTGGTTTTTCTGGACATGCATTGTTAGGCATGGTGCGGTGCCTAATGTAGAACAGTAAATGTGTTATAAGTTTCAGACATATTAAAATGTACCTCTAGAATAACCTTGAGATCCTGCAGGACTTGCCAATCCATGGGACTCAATTTATGACGAGCTATGCTACATTGAGCAGGAAGATCAATCCAATGGTCGATGGCCCAGGCAAACCATTAGCATGAAAATTCTAATGAGATGAAATGTTACCTGTCATAGGATCCTTGAATGGTTGAACATGATATATGTCGAATCCCAATGAGTAGGCTCATCGCATAGCAATTCAACTATTGGCAGGGTCATGCGCTTGCCCTTGTCATTTACAAACCATCCCTCTGCATTGCCAGAAGTAATAGCAGCTCAAAATCATCACGACGCTGGCCTGATGCACGAATCACATGGACAACATCTCTGGCTCAATCAATAACTTTGCTTTGCAGAGCCTTGACATACTCTGCCTTCTTGAAAGTGTAAAGGCCAGCTGCAAATGTGTTAGCCAAATGTGAAAAGTCTATAGTAGAATGTTCATCCAAGATGTGTTGGATGCATATGTTCACTATATGCAGAAAGCATGGGATCCAGTGATCAACCACATCAAACGCAATCCCATCTTTTCTGCAATAGTTGTGATAGTTCGTCCATCGTGGTCCTGTTGTTACTGGCGTTGTCCAAGGTAAAGTGTTCAATCTAGATGAAATCAGAGCATGCTACGGAGTACAACAAAACACTAATGTTATGTTTCACTTCAGCGCAATCAATCAGGTCCAATATTTTTGAAGCAAGTGCCTTCCCTGTATGACTACCAGGGATGTGATGAAAGGCAATTAGAGCAGCCTTCAAAACAAGTGTCACATTTTCACTTTCTTTCGCAATCCAATGTGCGGCCACTGAAAGGAAGAGACAGAGCTTAGAATCAGACCAGATGTCAGATGTGAATGAAATTTGTCCTTGGGCAGTCTGCAAGACATGAGAATACTATATTCAATCAGTAGCTGTGCACTTACAGCAAGGTCAAGTTTAATAGCTGTGAAGTATTCATCCCATGTGTCGATAATCAGTTGCCGAAACTTTGAACGATAGGGTATATTGGAATCCTTAAGGTCTTGCTGCAAGAGGCAGAGCAGTCAATGAAACTCTGGACATTCAACAATACTGATTGCCTAGAGATGGTGGTTAATGAGAGCACATAGAAAATAGACAGTACTCACTTGGTCATCAGCTACAATAAACTTCACAATCTGTCTATGCATCTCCTCGATGGAGAAGTCTGGTAAGTTACAATTCGAAGGTGCTGACTTCCCAACACCAGGCCGTGGACCACTATGTGTGAGATTGGGGGGAGAGCTAAGTGTCTCAGGTTGTGCAAGTAGGGTCTTTAAGTCATTCCAGCATCTGGGCAAAAGTCCAGCCTTCATCAAGGCAGTCCGCTACAGGATGAATGCCAATCGGCCATTGCTGTTTTCTCGGATTCCTGGAGATAAAGGTCTATGTGAGTTTTGTATATGTGGGAGCAAAGAGGGATATTGCCCATTGATGGACCATAAACAGTAAGGGGACAGGATGAGTTGATCTTATTTAAACCCCTGGTAAAGGAGGTGAGAAATAGCACAAAAGACTCCTGGATGTGTTACTCACTTGCATGGTACACAAATGCACTCGCTGGTGTCTGAATTTTTCCTAAAGAAAAACAGGACATCAGCAGTAGTCTTAACACCTCTTTTTCTTGTTGCAAAGGGATTGGTGTAGAGGGTGCTAGTCGCTGTCTGCAGTGGGCTCGGGTGTGTGCAAGTGTCATCTATGACTTCAGGTGAGGCATGGGTGTTGGCCATGACTTCAGGTGGGTTGTCCTCGTCTTCACTGCTGCCAATGTTATTCATGTCGATCCACTCACCATTGTCCGGACGAGCAGCTGCAGTGTCCTCCCTATATCTTTGAGGAAGCTGTTGCTGTCTCCTAGGACGGTGAAGGGCAGTAGCAATCACAGCTGCTGCAGTGGTAGTTGCAGCAGCAGGAGTGACATGCGTGGGAGCAGCAGGAGCGGGAGCTACAGGTACAGGAGCAGGAGAGACAGGAGCAGGCGCAGGAGCAGCTTCAACCTGGAGGGTACCAATGTTTTGTCGACAACGACCACAACAGTTCATGTTGGTAATAAAAGTGCTGGAGATGTAATGACAGACTCACCTATAATATACATACCTTTATCCTGGGGAGACCCTGGAAATCACTGATGTGCAGAATAGCACGGAATCACTTGACCCTTAGTGTTGTAGCCTGCAGGACCTAAACACAATAGTTAGTCAATTAATGGTGATACACTTCGCTTAGCGGCTCTCCATAGCACCATAACTCATCCTTACTGTATTGGCCAGGTCAGGGTGACTGATTCTTCAATGTAGATGTGGATCTCCATGAGGAGGACACAAGTATTAATGTGATCATCACAGCTGCAAGGTTGCAACTTGCAGGGTACCATTGAAACACTAGATCAGCATGGGAGTCACTACACAGGAATTACACAGCATGTGCATGGACCACGTACAATATATACACATATGTAGATATCTAACAAACATGCACAGATGTAGTATTGAAAAAAAAGGCTATCCAACTTGTTTCTTTATCCAACACAAGGTGGGAGTAGTTGCAGGCGTTAGGGTACCATTGCATGGACGTAATCTTGCAAACGATGGGTTCGTGAATCATGAGTACAGTATGTGATGATAAATGAAACTACTTACATGCAAGTTGATCTGCAAGGAGGCATTGCCTTCGGCAGACAAGGGTGCAACAATTCAGAGACTTGCGGATATTGAGGGGACTAGTGTGATAGGGCAATCAAATTCTAGGGAATGCATAGCTGGTGGTGCAGGCCCTGCAGTGCGAAGATCGTGAAGTAACGAACGAAAGATATTCATAATTGGGATCTTCTGAAAACGAGAGAGAGTGCTGAGTAGACAAGAATGTTTGCAAATGCCACAGGAATTCTGTCACATAAATCAGCAATGGTGGTATCCACTTTGCACTCAAGTATCAAGGAGCCGGAGAGCCTCTCATGGTCACTATTTAGCCATGGAGGGAGCCACATAAGAAATAAATCAACATATACGCAAGTGATTCAAGATCATCACAGCGACCTGGCTCCAATCCCAAGTGATTGTTGATGGAAGCAAAGGCGGGGGTGCCTGTGAGATGTTGGCCTTGGTGAAACGGGATGTGGAATTTGGTTGTAGTGTTCCAGTATCTCTTTGCGATACCAAAATTGATAATATAAGCAATTTGCCTCAAACTGTCTACCAAAACATTCTGCAGTTTGACATCACCATGGACATAGTTGTGTGAATGAATGTACATGAGACACGACAGCTGGAAAATATGTCAGTGTCTGCAGACTGCAATACAACAAATTTGAACTACAGTACCAGCTGGTCTCCTAAGTTGACAATGGTTTGAAGGCTAAATTTGTGGTTGCATGCAAGGAAGAGATCGTACAACGATGGCCCAAGGAGGTCAAGAGCCAAGGCATGATATATTGACTCCCTGCCGAACCAAAGGGCATGGGGGATACCAACACCACCTTTCAAGTTGCTTGAGAATGTAGTGTTCATGCTCCACAGAAGATGGGTTATCAGTAACCAGTTCAAGTTTGATAGCAACAACATCATCATTGAGGAAGTTTTGTGTATGATACATGACAGCTAGAAATATATGTTGAAAACCTGAATATGAATCAATTGAGTATCAACATCATACAGACATACCGTATGAACTGCCCCTAAAATATTTTCCAGCCTGAATCTACCATCAATTCAAATTGGGACCTAATCCATGCTATGCGACAAGACCAAATGTTACAGCGACAGATTCAATGGTACACACTGACACTGCACACTGCACAGTGCACACAGCGAGAAGGTTGATGTTTGACTCCCACGTGACTGAAGCCGACTGCAGCCAGTTTGAACTGGCTCGAGTCGATGTTTCTGATAAATGGCTCATAGCCAATTCATGCGGCTAGTAAGTCGAACCAAGCTGGACAATGTGGTTCAACTTACAAGGATAGCCGAGCTACAGGTGTAGCCGGTAAAAGCCGAGTCCAAGCAGACCGGAGCTGAGCTGTGACATAACTAACTCAAGTAGCCATTTTTGTATTTCTATCACTTCCATGGTCACTTTTACCTGTCTCGATGACACCACTAACATATACATGGCTGCTTATAGCTGTCTCGATGATGCCGCTAACATATACATGGCCACATCACCAAAATTACTCAAATCAGACATGGCCAGACATGGGGGTAACTGACAATGGCTAGGGCATTACATGTGTCGACAGTGTCAGCCCCAAACCCAGCCCTGTCTAGCAATCTATAGGAACAACTAATGACTTGTGAGGCAAAGTTAATGTTGTCACTGCAGTCGAAGTATTTTATGTCACTGAGACTTATTCAGATATTGTGTATCACAGGGACTCACTCATATATCAAGCGTCACTCAGAGATATTCAGACATTCCGTTCTCATTCCGATACAACATGAAATTGATTGCCTGTCAGCTAGTACTGGTGTGAGCTCCAGTAGTCGCTTATAGTTCTTCTGGTACTGATCCTGTGTTTTCTGGGATCTATAGAAGACAAAGTTAGTTCATCAGCCATCAGTAGGATACTTCCTAGCCATACAACTTTGACAGCTGCTTCTCTTGATGAGCTGCATCATCCTCATATTTGGATAAGTCTCCAGAATCGGCAAGTTCATGCTTTTGAGTAGGGTGCTGATGTTGATAACCTTGTTGATCTTGCAGAACATGTCGACGCATCGCGTAATGCAGCGTGCAACTGCAAGGTATTCTTCATATAAATCTAATTTTGATTCTTTCTTTTCCGGCCTATTGAGAGTGAGAATCAGTGACTCAGGTCAGATATATAAGAGCTTACTTTTGTTTATCATCATTGGACTTTGATGAACATTGTTTCTTCTGCTTAGAAGAATGTTTGCAAGTGGGTCGGGAGTCTTCTGAGTCACTTGAGGAGATGGTTTATGACCCTGACGGACTTGGAGAACACTTCTGCCGTGCCATAGTGATTGATGGTAAAGGAGGGATACAGGATTGAGGGGAAGATTGGGGAACTTTGTTTGGGGTAAAAGATCATGTGATTATTGATTTCACACAATTTCGATGCGCAATTGTGACAAGAAATACAATTGAATGCTGCAAGTATTAGTACTACACAAGAATGTCCATGGAAAGTGATATAGCAACAGTGCAGAGACAGCAACTTGAAGTACAGTAATATGATAACAATAATAATAGGACACAAAAACTTAATCTAACTTTAATGCCACTACAGCAGCAGGTGTTGTCATGAAGGAACTAACACGAGTGAGTGGTTCCACATCCATCCTCCTGAAGCCGGGTTCGAGGGGGCCAAGTATAACCATTCTCCTGCATGAACTTCTCCTGCAAGCGAAACAATCGAAGAAGCTTCCTTGAATATGCCATGTAGTTACACAGGGTTTGCACTAACATGCCAAGTTCCATCCCTATAGTAGGGTCAATTCGAAAATCAAATATACAAAAAAAAACGCACTTGGAGGTGGCCTCACAGGCCATGGTAACACCCGGGTCCTCCTCGATGGCTAGTGGTGTGCATTTGACTTTCGCCATTCCCTCTGCCTCATCCGCGCTATCATCATCTTCGGTGGACCGATAGCTTGAAGCATCCTTCAAGCGCAGAACAAGTTTCTGTATGTAGATGTAAGCTGTATTGAGTAATTTGGACAATAAAAATAACTTACTAATGGTCCCAGATGCTCAGGTGTGAAATCAATAGTGTATGTAGGCCATCTTGCAAGAAGGTTATTGTCATATACCATATACCCAGGTACAGATCCTGAAGATCCGGATCTCAGATTCGATCCAGATCCGATGGACATATCCAGTCGTCCGGTCCACAGATCTGATCTGATTCTTATTTCATGTCCTGTTCATATAACTCTAACTATCGTTCATCTCCTTTCGGTATTCCTGTACACTGGTATACCGGTTATCCTTTACTTCTGCTATGCTTACTGATCCACTACACTTACTGATCCGCTTTAACTTATACTTCATTCCCGGTGTGGTGACAAGAAATGGCTGGGCTGTAGGTAAAAGCACCAAACCAATATATATGAGTCTCCTGCTCTCCTAGCTGCTACTCTTGCTAGCAAGAACAGTTCGACCCTAAAGGATCTCTGACTAGGCTCAGGCTCAAAGAAAGAGAGTGGAGAAGGTACTCCAAGTCAAGGTAAGAAAACTATGTTCCAGGAGCTATCTGGTGAGCTAAGAAGCTACAACTAGGGAAGCTACAACTAGGGGATGCTACTGAATAACCCAAGTGAATGGGGAGCAACCAAAGAACTGGAAACAAGGGAAAACTAGGTAATGACTGTAGAGTCCTAGGTAAAGGGAAGATGATTATGTAAGCAGCAAAAGTGCGAACCTAATCTAAGGAAAGTGTCAATAAGAGATGCATAGTGAAAAGATGCCTCTGCAAGGCTACAGAAAGTTTGAACACCACACCGGTTCATGATTCGTGATCCATCCAACTTACCAATACGCTGTGCACATACTTTGCTTATTGATCATTCTGTTAGTTATCTGTAGTATATAAGCCCTTGTACATGCGCTGTAGTAGATCAGTTTGAATATCATCTTAGATTGCACTCATTCTGTCTGGACTCTAAGTCCTTCCGTTATCCGTCCAGACTTGAGTACGATACTCTTGTCTACCCCTGAGACATAGGATTGATTCCTATAGTCTATATATTCGCCTCTGTCTTTGGACAGTCCTCACCCGTTAGTTTCTAGTTCGGATCTGATCCGGATTAGCCGTTACTCTACATGTCCGATATCCAGAAGCCTTAATGGATCTGTTACGATACTTATCCGTCTCACTAGACGCGATACTCTAGCACTCTGAAATAAGACTCGGGAAAGGGGCACAGCGCACAAGCTGAGGCCAAAGCCCTTCAGATCCGATACATCTTGAGTACGGTCTTAACAGTTATCAACTTCCATGACAACAACATTGTCATGAACGAAAGTAGTTTGGTTAGACAAGTCGAGAGTTTCACGGGTATCAATGAAATGCATTGGGAATATGTGGATAGAAAGAAAGGGGAGTTTGAAGATGCATTTACTACTTGACCGGCATTTGCTGACTGACTTTGAATTGCAGCTCAAGCCGAGAACAATCACGTGCCTTAGCACCTTTCTAAGCTTTCCTCTGCTGGTGTTCTGTTTGCTTGCAGGCCTCAAATGAATCCAACTTCCGAACTTAACACTCACAGCTTGTAGATTGGTGAGTGTTCCTTCTTTTTCTTTGCTTAAACTCCCCTCCCTATGATGCCCGGTATGGCCTGTCCCCGCCCCAAGGCTGAATAGTGGAGCACTGCTCCCCCTTCCACCACATCCATATTTTGACTGTTTTTTTTGCTCACTCTCTATCTAGATTACGCATTTCAGCGCTGAGAACGTGCTCCGTTCAAATCCGGGCTGGATTTGCACCATACATTCAAGCCTTTCTGCCAATCCTGTATCCCGCCCTCAAAGCACACGAAGATACCCAGTTGTGCATGGTCGCTGTTGGCATCAGTTCTCACCCCTCCTGGTGAATTTTTTATTTTATTTATATTTGCACTTCACTTCCTGGTCCAACACGCCTCTAGGAGGCGACTTGGACCAGAGGCTGTCAGGCTGTGAGGACACGCCTCTAGGAGGTGACTCTGAGCGCTTAAGCCTCACAGCTTCTAACTTTTACTACCTACTATATGTACTGACTTCAAGCAGCTTAGCCCCACACTCATTCTCACAGCCCGCCCTCGCATCCTCACTGCATTCTCTTTACATATTGTCCCACTCAACTACCGTCGGCATCCACACTGCATTCTCTTTACATGTTGTCACCCCATCTTATCAGCCAAGTCTTTCAGAATGACAAGGTGTGCCCATTGGTGTGCAAGATACCTGTGAGAACTTCTGTGGAGGGTGGCATCATTTCATTGGATGGCACAGACGTTGACAACAATATATGTACTTTCTTGCGGCATTCCTTTGAAGAGCTGAAAAGTCGCCATCCCGATTTCCTGCAGCCATCGGAGGTTGACCTGGCGAGGCTGGAAAGCCGAGCGGGCAGATGTTTCATGGTGGCATCTACCTTAATGGAGGTGTACACCCATGAAAATTTCTGGGGAGGGTATTGCTACCATCATCTTGCTTGATGGTGCCGATATTGACAAAGACATCTATATTTTCTTCCAGCATTCCTTCGCAGAGCTGGCAGGTCACCATACTGATTTCCCTCAGCCATCGAAGGATGATCTTGCAAAGCTGGCGATTTGAGCAGGCAGATGTTTTATTGTGGCATCTATGATGAAGACAATGATTCCTGTGATAGGTTACAGCTGATGCTCGAGCTCACGAGCTCGCTGCTACCAGGAATGGATTTGTACAAGTTATACGATTGTATCCTCTCCATGTGTGCCGACGCCAAGTGTGCTTACATGCACTTGTCCATCATCGCCGCCCTCGCAGACCCTCTTCCCATCTCACAAATCTTGTCCCTTCTTGGCCCTGGTTTGGGCAGGGATGCGAACTGGAAAAACGGAGCCAAACTATGCAATGATGCATTCTATTTCTCACAACCACTGTCAGCTGTCCCAACACAGAATGATCCTGCAGGTTGGAGTATGCAATACCAGTGACATCTCATGACATCTCGATGGGTCTTGGTGATGCTCATGTCTAGTCCATGCTCTCTCTCACATCTTCCATATTCTTACCATATCTTGCCATCGTGATCATTTTGTACTCTCCTGCTCCTATTTGAGATATCAAATATTATATCTGATATTATAACTTATATTGTCTCAAGAGATTTAGCCAACAGTGGATCACCTGATGACACTCAGAATCCAGTATAATAGTTTGCATGTCTCCAACCAACTTTCTCGTTTCTTTCCTAACCCTTATGGATGACCTTACCTGTCTCGGCTGTGGCAGGACATTGGAACAGTGCTAGAAGCACTGAGGCTCAAGCAGGGAAAACGCAAGGAAAACCTCCGAGATGAGAATGTGAGACGAGAAGGCCAAAGTGAAGCACAATGCTAAAACCTCCGAGGCAAGCAGAGAGCCTCAAAGCAAAGACAAGCCTCACACAGCAGACACACAGCAAATGCTGGTGGGGAGAAACAACCTGCTGAAAACCTAACCCTAAAGACATGGCTATACATGACTACCTACGACTCCGAACACCTCTATGAGACCCCTGGCACCTGCTGCTGGCACTCTCCCTGCCAAACCTAACTGCTTCAATGTTTGCTTCTCAGAAACGTCTCAGCAGCCACGAGACTCAATGTGCTGAGACAGCACGCTCTCAAGAAAAGCCTTGACAAGGCATGCCAGCACCTTGACAAGAAAAAGAGGCGAAAAATGCACCACGAAGAACCAATGGATATTAGAGACAAAATTCCAGCTGATGATATGCAGGTAAGTCTGTCGTATGTATATGGGTCTTACTGATATCGATTTCTCTAAGGTTTCACCTCATCAGTCTCCTCCCTTACCAGAACCAGTACCTCACACCCCTACTCCTGCTGTCCAGTCTGCTCATTCTGGCTGTGCGATATGCATGCCAAATCGTTACATTGACTATCTTCCAGGCTCTGCGACTCATCTTGAGCATATGCCTCCAACATGGCAGCAAGCTCATGGTCACCACTTAGCTCAGGCTAATGAGCCCATTGCAGAGCCTGAGGCTCCACAAATTGAAGACAATGATGCTCACCCCCTGCTTATCCCATTCAAAACGGAACCTGATTCAATGGGCCTCTACTGCATGTATTGTGCACACCCCACCTTGATTCCCAATGGCGGAGGTGCGCTTGACAATGTTTGTGATGCTCCCACATTGGATGCTGCAGATAACGCAGCCGAGCAGGCTTCTCAGAGACTCACTGGCGTCCCACTTCCACCACCTGAAATCATGTACAATAACCTATATGATGCCTTCAGTAGTTCAACCACAGGTCTTATGATGTTTTGGCATTTCTCTGGTTCAACTGCCAAGTCAATGGCCAAAACACACTGTCTTATGAAATTCCTGGACAATGACAAATATAAGAGAGAGGATGCTCGTATATTTAACATTCCGCATGAGAAGAAGCTCCTCAAAGACTACCTCACAGATACCTCAAACCCTTTCCACGCAGACAATGGCTGGCGGAAGTCGTCAGTCAAGATACCTCTGCCGAAAGAGAAGGTAAAATGGCTGTCTGAAGATGCTGCTCCTCAACTCGAAATCAAGGATGTGCACCACCAATCCCTAACCAGCATTATCACCTCAGTGTTTGAAGACAGTGTTTTGTCGACATTCCATATGACCCTTCTTCCAGCAAATGTGGGAAACCTCAGATGGCCACAAGATTGAGATATTTTGGAGACTTATTTGTCTGTTGGAATGTGAGAGGCTTATGCTGAAGTTCATTCCCTTCCTCACACAGCTGATGATAATCTTGAGCATGTCGTGGCTTCGCTAATGATGTGGTCTGATGCAACCCACTTTGCTAGTTTTGGTGATGCATCACTCTGGCCATTCTATCTCTTCTTCGGAAACCAATCAAAGTACACCCATGGCAAGCCAACTGCCTCTGCATGTCACCATGTAGCCTATATTCCAACTGTATGTTGTGTTCCATTAGACCTATGCATGTGCTGATTCATTGGCTACATACAGCTACCAGATAACTTTCAAGATACCTACAAGAGGATCTTTGGTGAAGCCTTGACAGCGGAGATACATACTCACTGCAAAGTGTGAATTAATTCATGTGATATGGGAGCTTCTTCTTGATGAGGAGTTCATGCATGCATATGAGCATGGTATTATCATTTGTTGTGGAGATGGAGTCACACGAAGAGTCTTTCCACATTTTTTTCAGCTATTCTGCTGATCATCCAGAAAAGTTTGTCACCTGTTGATTTGTCAATGCTATCTGACATTTCCTGCCAGGATTCTTCTTGCCAATATCAAGTTCCTTGGCCAGTGTCTGTGCCCTCAGTGTCTCATCAAGAAGGCTGCCGTCCCAAAGATGGGCACAAAGCCTGACATGAAGCATTGTGAAACGACTGCGCATGTCGATGACCAAGCTTGCCATTACAATATTGAGAGAGCCCAGCAGTTTATATTCAAGAATGGAGCTCAAATTGATGGCAAGCATGTTAGAGATCTTTTAGGCCCGCAATCTCTTGTTCCAGCCCGAGTAAGTGTCTCCCCTACCTCACATCACATGCTTAGCTCACATTATCCTCAGAACACTTTTTCAAAGCGCTTTTTCCAATTCTTATTCAACTTTTTCACGCTGTTTGTTATTGACTTACTGCACGAGTTTGAACTTAGGTGTTTGGAAGGCGATATTCACTCATCTGATGAGAATCCTATTCACTGCAGGAGGTTCAGCAGTCCAGGATCTTAACTGGAGGTAAGTAAAAGCTTGTACTTTGGCCTCAACAGTACTGAACCATTTCCATAGATATCAACATGTGCCCACCTTCGGAAGGGGAAACGATTCGGCATTTTCACAAAAATGCATCATCAATGAAATGTCTTGCTGCCTGTGACTTTGAAGACCTTCTACAGGTATGTAACCTGAGTTTGTCTTGTCCAGTTCTTGATATTTTGTAGTGCGCAATACCTGTATTTGAAGGCCTTCTTCCAGAGGACGACAGTGAAGACAAACCCTTAAACAAAATTATATTGGATTTGTTGTTTGATCTAGCAACTTGGCACGCTTATCCAAAGCTCCACTTGCATACCGAGGACACCCTGTCGTTCTTCGACTCTGCAACTGTTGTACTGGGTGAAACAGTCCACAAATTTTCTTGAACTGTGTGCTCTCACTATCACACCACTGAGCTTCCCTCATGAGCATGCAGCACATGGCCGCTGCAAAGCTGCACTTGCTGCTAAACATCCTCATGTCACCCAATGAAGGATTGCTGGAGTGAAGGCCAAGTCACTGAACCTTCAGACATATAAGTATTACGCACTTGGTGACTATCCAAATACAATTTGGCACATGGGGACTACGGACAGTCACAGCACCCAACCAGTAAGTGTTTCTTTCATTAAAGCAACTTTAATTCACATTTGCTTGCTAGGGTGAACTGCAGCACCACTGTTTGAAACGATGGTACCCACAGACTTCGAAAACCAAGGCAACAACAATCCAAAGCATTGCATCACAGGAAGTCATCAAATGATTCTGTGAAAAGGTAATTACCTCTTGTGAACACTTTGTGAATGAAGACCCGACTCACCCATGATGCCGGCATGAGCGTACTTTGCCATCTGACCATTATTACATTGCAAAATATTCACAAGCGACTCATGACCTCACATCTTGGCTAGGTGACCTAGGCAATGATCCTGCAACTGAGGTAAGTTGTTCTTGCTTTCAGTCATTGCAGGTCACTCAGGTTTCAGATAGAATTTTATACCTTGACTCAAGGACCATTTACTTGCCCACCTTCATAATATCGATGTGATGGTGATGAACACAACTTCTCCAATGCAGATTGTGACACAGTCCTTTTCACCAACAACAAAATCTTCAAACACAGCATTCTGCATGTCAATTATACTACATACAACCTGCAACGCAAGCAAGATACAATTAATCCTTGTACTCATGCTGATATCATGGTGCTTGCTCATGAAGATGAGTGCACACATCCATATTGGTATGCTTGTGTCATGAAAATTTTCCACATGAATGTGGAGTATCGTGAGCATCACATAGCATTGCGAACTCCCCCAACTCGCATGGACATGCTGTTCGTTTGATAGTTCTGTCATGACATCTCACCTGCAGGCTGGGCTGCAAAATGTTTGCAGTG